TCGCTTTTACTACAACAAATCGTCGTCTCTCCGCACTACGATGTGCTCGTTGATGCTTCGTCTCCATTCTGGACGACTTTCCACTTCTCCAAACCAACAAGTGATGAGCTGAAACCTGGCCAACACTTCTATTACACCCCTCAAAAGGGTGGATGGACCCTCATCTCCCCATTCATCGCCGACGGAGAACTGGAAAAAGCGGAGGTCGGTCCATGCAATAGCTCAGAGGACCCAGGACTGGAGCATCACTGGATCGAGCGAGCGCGTCCAGCCATGGAACTCCCGGAATCGGGAGCAAAGGAGTCGATCGATGCCAGGAGCTACGGGTTGAAGAGAGGGTGGTTGGGAGTGGCGATCTGTAGTGCGTGTGGAAAGAAGGTGGTGTGGTCGACTGAGGCCGGAGGTTGGAATAATGGTTTTGGGCCGTTTTTGAGACACTTTTCGAGAGCGGGAAGGGAGGTGGGGTATCAGACGCTTTGGGATGGATGGTATAGGTTTTGGATGTGCGTTTTTTCTTCTTCTTTGAGCATGTGCAACAGGAGAGTGAGAACGAACTTGATAACGTTTGGTCTTGTGGAGTAGCATATTATCCGACCTTTTGTTCAAACCTGCTGTTGAGAATCGGACACTTAATTTCCAAACGTTTGCCAAACCATTGTCATGGGCTGATCCTCAGCTTTTGTGCGTCGTCCATCCCAGTCCATCCTATTTTCAAAGGTGGTTGCTGAGTGCGCGTGCACCAGGAAAGACATGATCTCTAGGCTTGGATACACAGACTGCGAAGAAGTGGAGGGGATTGAGCGTGTCAAGCTTCCAATTGTGGACGGGAGCGAGGAGGGGAAGAAGAGGAGGAGGGATCTGGTGAGGACTTGGGCGGAGGTTGGCGTTAGATTGTATTCTCTCAAGGAGGACCACAGTAAGTCTTAGTTACACAGACGGTGGGCTCGTGTTGATATGATGCGCGCAGAGGAGGAGATCATTGTCCCAGAGAACAAATTCATCCCTCTACATGTCTTTCAGGCTGTCGAGACCTTGAAGAGAGTTTTTGGGCCTATTGGTGAATCAATTTCCACTTGACGCAAGGTGGATACTAAAGATGTCGACAGTGCAACCAGTCAATATGGCTATCAATGCCCCCGCCTTCTCAAAGTACTACGAGGTCTTAGGCATTCGAGAGATCTCTACAGAGTGCGTACCTCCTCTTAAACTATCTAGACGGTCTAAAAAGGAATAATGTGTATAGTCAGCTCAGCTCATTGAATTCGCTTACCGACGCCAACGAGCTTCGAATCGACGCAATCACGCCTATTACCTTGAAGGCAGGTGTTCCTCGTACTATTATCTCGCCATTCGTGTCCAGTTCTAACAGGGGAATGCATTAGCTCTCTCCCGAATTGGAGATGTACGTGGTTCCGAATATCTGAAGGGGATAGTGGTACAAGAACGCTCCTGCGGTCTCTACACGACGTCCGACATCGAAAAGGCTTTTCTCGACCTCACATGTCCTCTAGACGCATCGGAAGACATGATCAGCAAGAAGTTCAATGATCGATGGCATGACAATACTGATCCTGCCATACGACACGATCTTCTTGAAGCCCTCAATATTATTGCAACGGAGAGGGAAAGTGACTTGCTCAAGAGTACTTGGGCGAGTTGTAAAGAGGGACCGCGAGAGCCGGCTATGGATATTGAGAAAGCGAGGCTTGTGTTGGGGCATATGGATGATATGGATGACGAGATGCTGCTCGCGCTTTACGACATTCGGGTGAGTTTCCCTCCTTCGTTTATGTTCGTAGTAGTGGATGCTAAGTCATGCATCAGATTATGGACTCTCCTGGTTTGAAGGACCAGATGAAAACTGCACTGGAAGTCATTGCCAAGCAGAGGAATAGTGAGGCGTTGCTAGAGTTCGTGAAGACTGGGCAGAAACGTGCGCCGTTACTTCCAAGAATGGCTCATTAGATTCTGACTGCAGGGGTAGCTTCTCCTGGAGCTTTTGCAGCCGCAAAGGCCGCCCGTCCAGACTTTCCGGTGGGACTGGAGAACATTGCCAACACATGCTACCTCAACTCATTGCTTCAGGTAAGCTCCTTGCGGTCTTGACAACTGAGGTAACCGATGAACGGGACTAGTATTTTTTCACGATCAAAGATCTCAGAGAGATCATTTTGCAGGCTGATCAGTTTGAGGAGGATGACACCTCGTCCAAGCTCAAACGCGTAGGAGGGCGGGAGGTGACAAAACCAGAAATTGAACGATCCCGAAGATGTATGCTCTCTACGTTGTCTCACTTTCGGCTCATGAGGGAACAACAGTCATCATCTTGCTTCAGCATCTCTTCCTTACCTTACTCACCACCAAAGACGGCGCCGTTGTCCCCGAAATTGAGCTTGCAAAACTAGCACTCGTACCTGGCAAGGAAGAAGAACCTCATTCGAACCCGACAGAAAGTACCGAGGCAACGCTCGTAGACCATGCGGCACCAGCTCATCTGCCCAGTCCGACGACAAGCGTCCTAGGAAAGAGAGGGAGCGAACATTTGGACGAGCGGGAGGGGATGGAGGTGGAAGGGTTGACAGTGGCGAGTCCGAAGCGGCGAAGTGTGGATGAAGATTATGACATGGTAGAGGAGGAGGAGGAGGCAACTCCTGTCCGTCGTTTCGAACCGTCCAGGCAGACGGTTGCTGTCCCAGATGAAGATAAGACTATGATTGTTGATGAGTCTGTTGAAGCATCAGCATCATCGTCAGTACAGGATGGCACCCACGAAGACGTAGGGATGGAAATAGCTCCTCCGCCTCTGCCTCCTCGTCCAGAGAACCCTCCTACAGAATTCGGACCAGCTCTACCTCCGCCAGATCCCAAATCTCAGATGTCGCTTGAGCAACAAGTTGCGTCCTACATGTCTTTCGGTATGTGTCCTACTTGGGCTTCTGGAAGTGTGTTGAAGCTTTCGCACAGGTAAACAAAACGACGTGTCAGAATGCTTGGATAACATCATGTTCCAGATCGAATCTGCATTAGACTCTGAAAAGTTAGCGAAGACGAAGGTGGGAACTGAAAACCTTGTGAAGGAGTATGTTCGCTGGCTATTTGGCGTTCCAAGTTGATAATCACTTAGTCTCTTTTACGGCCGGACCGTGCAAGAGCTTCGTTTCACAAATCCGACGAAGGACGAGGAACCTCGAATTAAGGAAGAAGAGTTCTTTCACCTTCTTGTCGATGTAGCAGAAGAGGGCAGGGATCTGTACGACGGTCTTGATGCCTCCTTTGATGAATCCGATGTCGAAATTGAAGGACGAACCGCCCAGCGTAGCGTCATGATCAAGGACCTACCACCCATATTACACATTCAACTCCAGGTTTGTTCGCCTCCATTGAATCAGGTTGATGTTACTTAGAAAACGTTAGCGCGTACAATACGATCGGATTCTTAAGCGAACATACAAATCTAACGCTCATATGGCATACTCTCCTACGATTACGATGGACCGTTATTGTACTGTCGACCCCACCAACAACCAGGCCGTCGAACGCAAAGAGCGCACGCGAACTTTACGGAAAGAGCTCGATGAGCAACGAAGTCGTCTGACCCGTATCAAGCAAGGATCCAAAGTGCGCCAAAGCCAGTTCATACTTGCTATCTACTAATGGGATGAGTAGAAGCCACCGATTACTGAGGTCATGAAGCTCGTTTACGAATCTCTTCCCAAGCGCAATAATCCCATCGAACTCGAATGCATTCCGGATGTTTCTCGCTTTCTAGAGCACCTGATGCAGGAGAAAATCTATCTCGAAAACGAGATCCAATCCACGGAGAAGCGAATAAAAGAGTTAAAGGATGAGATTGATGAGGTGTGGAAGAGTTGTCATGAAGCGGACTACGAACTCGCCAGTGTCTTCATGCATCGAGGTCGGTCATCTGCTCAAAACCCTCAATAATCAGCTAAATGTGTCTCTAGGCGAGGCAAATTACGGTCATTATTTTCTTCTGCAACGGACATTTTCTCCAGATAGTGAATCACCAGAGCTCTCCTCCAGATGGCTCAAGCTGAACGATTCACAAGTGACAGAGATACCCCAAAAGGACGTCTTGGAGTTTCCGGAAGGAACAGGGAGTGCAAATGCTGCCAACCCTTACTTCTTGAGCTTCGTGAGGAAAGGAAAGGAGAACTATTTCGAAAAAATCCAGAGGCAAATGGACTGATGTTGGTTCCATTGTCAGGGAACACAAGGGTTATCTGCAGTGATGTTACCAAGTTGTCTTTGGTGTGGCGTTTGTTAGACGACTTACTACTACTGTAGTATTAGTGGCATTTCTCGTGCTCAGCAATTGTGTATAAGTGCAATAACTACTATTCTTGCAGCCTTGATGATTATGTTACAGCCCCCCCACGATGGTCCCTCAAAAGTATATGAAGAGTGGGTGAACTTAAGATTGATTTGCTCTATTGTCTGGTTAAGAGAGGAGTGAGTTGTACCCGGACAGGTGAATTTAGCTGAGACTATTCTTTTAGCCAGATATTCAAAAATTTCTTCTTTCCTTGAATATGTATTTGGTCGACAAGAACGGACGCCTCAACTGCCCTAACTATTTCTGCTGTCGCAGTCATCGCTTTCAGTGTGTACACGTGTGCAGGGTTAGGAGAGCTTCCTGTCACTCTTTCTCAGAAGGTAATGGAACCGCCGGTAGAAGGTGTCGAGCTAATCGAGCAGCATAGCACGTTTAGAGGAAGGAGGGGATTGGATATTTGGGAAGGGACTGGGCTCGTTCAAAAGTGTGCACTGAGGTCGCAAAGGGACAGAATATGCTTTCTTGCAAAAAAGACTGCGTCAAGACAACAAAATCAGAAAAAAGGTTTGGTGAAATAGGATATCGAAACAGGGGATGAGGGAATGTGACAGAAGATCCGACCGTAGGGAGAATTGTTGTGGTCGCTGATAGAACAAGGAGAGGAGGGACAAAAAGTTGATCAGGTGAAGTCCTTTCACTCTTCTGACAAGAGTGGGATTCGAACCCACGAACCGAAGATGAGAACTTGAGTCCCACGCCTTTGACCGCTTGGCTATCTTGCCACCTGACAATGGAACCGCTTGGCGGTTTCTATTTATTTATTAACAGAGGAAACCCATTGCAGTGAAACACATCGTGCTTGAGAAAGATTGCTGGCCTTATTTTCTTGTCGATCACAGACTCGACTGGCCACTCGAAGAGCTTAAAAGATCCCCTTTTCGGGTTTTTCCATCGCTCCCAAACTTATCCCCATTGAAGAGTTACTTACTTGCGCTTCTTACTACGTACCACCTCTCTTGAATCTTTTTGCTAGCATGGATTCGTCTTTTATAAAGAAGAGTGAGTGGTGTCCGTCGTTCCTCTACGTCGCCAATGCTAAGCGTTCCCACAGTGGGACCATTCACATCCGTTCGTCGAGCGATCTGAAGGAGCGTGTACTGCCAAATTTCAGATTCCTGTACCCACAAAATGGTGAATACGAACTGCTTCATGTCTTTAATTCCCCCTTCGTCACCAATCTAATGTCACCGCCAAACTCCCAAGAGAGGAGAAGACTTACGAGGCTAATCTTCAAAGTGTCTATCCCTCCTGATTATTCCTACTTCATTAATCATTTTGGTCGCCCACATGATGTCCATGAAGCTTTCATTGAAGCTTGGGAAGTCGGTGATTGGTGAAGGAGGGATGCAGTGGTTAACTTTTGAACAATGGTCGCAGCCTCCTGACTGAATGACAGGGATAACATATCATTGATGGGACAAAGCGCCGATCGACTCAGGAGGCAACGGCGACAAGGACGAAGATTGTTTCAGAACGATATTCTGGATGGAGACGAAACGTTTGATTAATGTTGCCATTGCAGGCTTTCGTTCACTCCAAGGTTGTTGTGACCTTTCCAAGGTGGACAGGGAATCAAAGATTCGCTACACCGTTTTTCGCAGCTTTTTCAAGATATGCAATCGAGAAATAGGACAATTTCAAGCGCACATGTGGAAGTTTGAACATGGATAATGACGGTACAATGACCGTGATCTTGAGGGTGCGAATAAGAAAGAGGGAAGAATGGAGAGGCGGAGCGAGTTCTCATATTCCCAGGCTGCTGGGGTGATGAAATTGACAAGGGCAGGCGGGCGTACTTCATGAAAATCCTCCGGTACGGGTTGTTGAATCATTCCAAGTTCTTCATTACTATCACCTTTAACTTCATGTTCACTGGAATTTAGAAATAGAAATTCCTACCCTATTGTAATCAAGTCCGAAACTTGTGGTATCCTATAAGCAAAAACAAATCTTATAACAAAATAAAGAAAAGACCTCACCGGGTATTGACTGCCGGCGACTGCCACGTGATATCCCGCGAACTGCTACCCCCCAGCAGCTCTGCAGTCCCATTACCATGTCTGCCTTTCGCCCTATAGCGCCTTCGATCTCACGAATATCGCAACTCGAGTCCTTGCTATACGACAAAGAAATCGAGGTCATCCTTCGAGAGCCAGTGTGGAATGCCCTCGCCTTGGTTAAAGTGCGTCTTCTTCCATTGTTCGTTTTCGCAATTGCTTATTGAAACTATGGGCAGAATTCGTTCAAAACCAACTTTGAACCAGAACTTACACTCCTCCTCCGTCTTGTCGTGCTATACACCGCTTTGTTATCTAAGCAGAGAGGAACGTATGGTCAGCAACTTGGCAATTTGCGTTATGTGAACGCGGCTTCCATGTCTTCTCATACCTTCTCTATCCGTGCGTCCCTTCTCTCTTTTGTCCCGAAAAACATCCAACATGAATGCCTATGTGAACAGTTGACGCCACCCCGTCGCGTTCGAAGCTCCACTCGCTGGTCCTCCTTTCCACTCTACCCTCCTACCTCTA